GAAGCTTGTGGGGTCGTTTGCATGAAAAACTAAAATGTCTATAAACCCGCGACAAGATAAAACGATGAAGGAAACGAGAACCATGACAATGCAAGCCACTCATTTCAAACGGTCATTTGAGAAATAGCTAACGAACGACGAATTATGACTATACTTAATGTTAAGAAAATTTGTTTTTGTTTTTCAATCTGGAGTTAAGTACGCACATTTTTGATAACTGATAATATGGCATTTCAATTTCCGCCAAACATTGGTTAATGAACAGCTGGGCAATTAGAAACTTACTCTCGCTAATGTTATGTTATTTCTAACCAAACGAATTAAATTCACACATAGCTTGTAATGACACATTATTTGTAATTGACACATTACTTGTAATTTTAAATCTGCAGGTTGATTTATTTCCGCGATGAAATTTCCGCTGTTTTGGTTGGCCTTTGTGGTGATCGCAAATGTCTGCAGAGCTATTCCAATTGCAGGTAAAAATTAAATTCAGTTTTGTGTCTAAATCAACGAAGAATTTTCCAGTTACACTTTGACCAAAAATTCAAATTCCAGTTTCCAGGAATTTTCAGTGGGGAATGGAACAGTATTTCCGGCCATTTCCAAAAAGAAGACAAACTTATTCCTGGGGTTCATACCTGATTACTCACCCATCTGTTACTAAGAATTGCGAGGCTCATCAGGCGTTTATCGGTAAAATAGTAATTTTTGGAACATTTTTAATCAAGCTCGGGTTTTATTATTTATTTTTGGTTGAAATTTGAATAAGAAACGAACTCTGCAAAATCGTATATATTTTGTCGTGCCAAAACAATCAGTTTAGTCCTACAGCATTTTACTTATACGCTTAACTAGTACTAAGGCTTTAACTTCGATGTTTGCATTTCTTTCAAGAAAGTCATATCCGTCGGTAACTTCTAAAGCATGCATAAACTATCCATTGATTATAACTGGATTTTATTCCTGTATCTTTATGTATTTCTTACACGAAGCTTGCATGCAAGCGACACGTTATGTAATAAATTTAAGGAAGGATTTCACAGCTCGGCCGAAGTGAAAGCTTTAGGCTCAGGCTATTTGGCTCCATCATTTATGAAACAATCGAATGGGAGTGGATGACTTGTGGGAAATGTTTCTTTAAACGTTTTATTGCTTTTAAACCAATCGTACGCAATTAGAATAGATCCCTTGGGTCTACGGATTGTGGGCGCTTCTCATTTCAATTGCTGTAAATTTTTCGATGTCAAATGGAACAGCATTTTCCGTAATTTCCAAAACGAAGGACACATTGCCATGTAAATCGAAATGAATTTTCAACATTCTTACTGAGAATTTCCGTGCCATTTGAGTTTCCGCACGTATTTTCCCAAATTTTGGGTTATTTACTTTGTATTTCGGAAATTCATCAAACTGCGGCTTTTTGGAAACCTCCAAGGAAAATTTCGTATCATTTGCCTTCGTTTCCAAAGTTACAAACTTTTTGCTTGAATGGAAAGCGCCCTGGATAATCAATGCTACCATGATACTTTGGTATTTTCTGTGCAATTCGGGCATCAATCTTGCTGGCTGTACAAATGAAAATTCTGACGATTGAGGGAAGAATTGGTCGAAGATTAATATTCTCACGGCACGATCGAGAGGCTCGCGGGTAGCATAGGAAGCTTTGGGACTTTTTAAGGTTTTGGCAAGAGGGTTAGCTCATTCCAGGTGGGCCACTTGTTTTCATAATTATGTGTTTCTTTGTTTAAAAACCTTGCGTAAGAAATTTATAGAATACCTTTTCCTCGAGGTCTTGTCCTGCTATGTAAGAATTACGTTTCCATAAATATTTTTGGCCACATCTAAGGTGTGGCTTTTAGTAGTATTTCGAATCTGGCGTCGCACAGGTCCTAATTCTTAAGTCAGTAGTTGTAATGGGTCAGGATACATCAGGATATATTAATTTGCATTAGATGAATTACCGACGCAGAGCTGAACCTTTTTCATGTTGAATGTCACGTGTGAGTGTAGTCAGCATTTATAGTCTGTGATTGCCGAAATTGCTCGTGATTTAACAAAGGTGTAAAAGAAGTACTAATCTCACGCCATATCTTGTACAAGCGCTGAGCCGTGAGATTATCCTTTAAACTTCGTGTAACGGAGATTCGTGTCCAATTCATTTTCAGAGCTTCTTGTAAGAATCCCCAGAGCAGACCAAGGTAAACTTTTTCTTTTTAACATTTTAATTGTGAGTCACACACTTACAACACCAGTACAGCTACTTACACAATTTACAACAGTAATGCAACTACTAAAGCCCCTTACATCACTAACAAAACTTGTTTTACAATGCGATTACTTACACACTACTTACACTATTTACAATACGACACGATTACAGATGCTACTTACAATACTACAACCTGCATAACTTACTCTACAGTACAATACGATTACTTATTCTACTTACGATACTAATACTTACACTACTTACAATATAATACGATTACTGATGCTACTTAGAGATAATTATAAATATATATAGCTTTGCGTTCAGTTCCAATAGGATATGTCTAAATATTCGTATAAATTATATACAAAACAAATTATTAAAACATTCATGTTATAACAATGAGCAACAAAACAAAAGATCCGTTCATATTAAGGTAAACGTTATTTAAACTGAAGTTTTCGTTAAAAACGTTATTGTTAAAATACTAACCAGTGACACTTTTTTCAGTGTCTAAAGACTCTTGACCAAACTTGATAGACAGCAAATAGCTTTGGATAGTTAGCAATTGTAGGACTAAATGATGCACCGTGTTAACCAAAAGATGTTTCTTACCTTGTAGATCTCTCCGTGAGTATTCACATCAAGAGTGAGGGTTGCGAAGATCCCGGTATACCGGAAGGCACATGTGGTCTAGCTTACATATACGTAAATGGGGAAGATAAGTCCCCGCACAGCAGAGGACACAATGTCGTTGTTGTGGACGCTGTAACAGGTAATGTAACATTAGTAGAGAACACCCAGTTAAAACGTGGATATGCTGTTTACAAGAAGTATTCAACTTGGAGTTACTCCGACAAGAGACGAAAATATATGCTGGTGGTTCTCTTGAAGGCTCTTGGAATTATTCAGTTAAAATTATCAACTTTGAAAAGAGGTCTTCCAAAGGAGCGACCAATGGAAAATCTAAAGGAGATGAACGCAATGTCTTCTATTTAGTTTAGCTTAGAACGTATGCTCGGATATTTGTCTTAAGACATTTTTTTCCCGAAGGTCACAAACTGTTTGCTTCCCAGGATAGATGATAGCCGCGGACGTATACCGTCACATTGCTTTGGAGAAAACGGAGGCCATAGTTTACTTATCATCATAATCATCTTAAATGTAAAAAAGCTCTGCAGTCTCTTTATTGACATCTTCTCGTGTAAATGTACGCTAAAACATTTTTACCTGTTGCGTTTCTGTTTAAGTAAACATATACGACTTAAAATTTCCATGTAACTCCATGTATTCAATTTTGTTACATATGAGGCAAATGTCTTATACTTCAACATAGGTAAAGTGCTTAGAGCAGCGGGATTTGATACCCATTCCGGTGAAATGTCGGCTGGCGAAAACCTGAAATACTTTCTCAATAACATAAAAGGAGAAGAGTAAGTAAGGTTTAAATATTTAGTTCGTATTATTTGGCTATTGATATTTACAGTGTTATCATAGGAGCTAAAACAAGATTACAGAAGAGATAACGATGTTCTGATCCGATCTTTTGCACCTACTATAGCTAGGCGTGGAAACGTCATGCAAAAGTGGCAATATTATTTGTCAAACGACACGTTACACTTCCTTATTCGTAGTTTCGAAGTGCAGCGATAAAAAAAAAATAAACACCTTATAAATTATGTTGGGCTAGGCCAACATTTTGACTATTATCAAGCCCACTCTTCTAAAAAGGCTCGAACTTTGAAAATTATCGCGGCTGCTTAGATTTCAGTTTTACGCAAGTTTAAAAAAAATCTTTTTGTAACTGCAGTCAAATTGTTTTGGTGGCCATTCAAGATGAAGGTTCAAACTATGTAGAAGCAGCCATTGACGCTCTCAAGAGAGTGGGGGCCACTGATCCCATCTGGACAGGCTACCGAGGATCATTTGCCCTCATTGGATATTCTGGAGTGGTGAAACCATCATGGGTTGAACTAGGTCAAGCGAATAGAAAAGAGGGACCTACTGAGCTTTCAAAGGCGATTGCACTTTCACCAGGTGTGGAAAATTATTTGTAATTTTTTTTAAAATATATATTTCGAGGAAAATAATCCTAGGGAGTTACGTTAAATGTTGACGTAAGATGTGGCACAATTTGGCCAATAGAAGCACTCGAAAGACTTAAAAAACAATAAAGAACGC